CTCCTTGTATTGCCTGCTGAAGATATGCTGCCGGTCCATTCCTCATGTCCCAAAGCCTCTCCTGCTTGTTCCTATGCCTGTGTGCTGTGTCTGTAGCCAGCTGTTCTGCCAGGGGGATCACTGGAGATCTCCGCTGAGGTGAGGTATTCAGGAAGAATTAATTCCAGAGGAGGTACTTGCCAGCCCTGAAGCACTTTGTAGCACTAAAATGCTCACAGTAAGCAAACAATTTAGCAATGCCCCAGAGTTGTTTCTCTGGGCTTCTCTTGAGCAGTTGGCATTTTCTTACAAATGGGGTTGTATTTTGGGGCAATGTCAGAGGAAAACTCCCTATGCTGTTTATGTAGAAGAACCCCCTGTTAGGTTTTACCTGGACCTAAGACCAGCTCTAAGTGCTTGAAAGCAGCAATTTACTGAATATTCCTGATTGTGGGGTCACTGATGTACAGTGAGGGACTCCCATCTCCTGGAAGAAAGCCAAAATTGCTCTTCTGGCACAGCTGAGCCATCTGACAGCTGGAGTGATAGTCTCAGCCCAAGCATTTAATGTTCCCTGTTGTTGCCATGATATTTTCTGAAAAATCCCTTCACCAGGATTTTTCTCCTGAGAAGCTGAGAAGCCTCAGAAAAGAAATGTAAACAATAATTATCTGATTGCTTGGAATGTGGTCTGGAGGTTGCTTACCAATAGGTGCATCTTTGATTGGTTCCATGTGAATTGTTTTTCATTAATGACCAATCCCAGTCCAGCTGTGTCAGGACTCTGGTCAGTCACAAGTTTTTATTATTCATTCTTTTTCCACCCTTCTGTCTGTATCCTTTCTCTTTCTTTATCATAGTTTTAGTATATGATTTTCTTTTAGTATAATATCATAATATAATAAATCAACCTTCTGAGAACTTGGAATCAAATTCTCATCTCTCACCTCATCCTGGGAACCTCACAACACAAGACCCTGAGGGTAACATTGTGCTGCTGATTTATAGGAGTTGCTACAGTCACATCTGTCCCTTGCTGTGAGCCCTCTGAGGGAAAATGATGTAGTAGGTGCAAACTCAGCTTCATAATGGAAATTATTTGTTTGTCTGCTTCATATTGAGTGACAGCTGCTGCAAACTTGCTCCCCTGCAGTTCTCTTGCTGCAATTTTGTCTGTGCTCCCAAACATGGGTAGACTCTCCCCTCTGCTCCCTCAGGCTTGGGTTTCTGCCGAGTTATCTGTCAACTGCACCAGCTAATTGCTGGCAAGTATTGGATCAGGTGCTTTACAGGAACTCTGGCAGCTGCCATGGCTGTAAATAGTGGCTGGCTGATGTTTCCCAAGGGCTGGAGGGGAGAAAAGGTGTTTCCCACTGACTATTGGGGTGATGCTGTAGCACTTGGGAGGCAGGAGCAGGTTTGCCCTGTTACTCCAGGATGTGGGCCTGGGAGGACTTGCCCTTGCAGGCTGTGTAGCCCCAGTTTAGAAGCAGACTGGAGTCATTGGGCAGAAAAATGAAGTGAGGCTGAGTCATTTAGCAATTAGTGAGCCTTCAGCCCTGGTAAGAATCTGAGTAACTGAGAGGCAGAGTCTGCCTAGTGATTGCTGCTGAAGGATGTCATGGAGGCAGTCCACTTACAGTTCTGGCTGCTGTTCTGGGTTTAACATTTCCTTTTGTGTCCCCTGCTCATCTCCCCATCAGCAAGCTGGGGAATATGCATGGAAAACAAATCAGCAGCAGATAGTAGCATGTGAAGTGATTCTTCTGCTGGCACAGGTGGGACATTGGGCAATAACACCCGTGGTGATTTAAAGTCCAAAGATAATGTGTTGCTTGCTTGCTTGCAAGCCCTAAAATGGTTTGGAGGAAGGAGGTGAGAACCTGAGCCAGTTGATTTGTGATGGATGTTGGATACTGTAGAGCTGGTTTAGGTTTTATGTACTTGATTTCTTCAGAACTCATGAGTAGAGGGGACAGGCCGCTGTTACTGGTGTGAGCTGCTGCTCTACTCGTGAGCAGGCACAGGTGTCTGTGTAAGAGGCTCTGATCTCCGAGATAATACAGGCCCCAAAATGCCCGTAGAGGTTTTTTTCCCCCTCTTTAGCACTTTTCAGGCAACATGGAGGCTCCCCATCGCCACTGGACTGGCTGGAGGCCTGTGCTGGATAAGGAAGTGAAAGCTCCCCTAAACCTTGCTCAGCTGCAGGAGTGAGCAAGACCTGCTGATGGATGTGAGGATAACACAATCCAGGATGGTAGTGAGCGCTGGTCTTGGGAGCACTAAGGAGATCTGCTGGTGTAACGGCCGCAAGAGAATGGAGGAACTAGGGACTCACAGTGAGAATCGATGCTTGGGGTCAGCCAAGAATGCCAGGAGGCAGGGAAATGGGAATTAGTCAAGCAGGAAGAGAGCCAATCCTCTTTGATGCCAAGAGGACCTTCTAAGCACCCAAAATTGCTGTGGGTGTGGAGATGCCTGGAGTAGCCTGTGGCTTCCAAAAGAGAAGGGTGAAGCAGGACGGTCTGTGCAGCTCAGGGTGCTGGGGCAACCCCCCAGCCTGGACTTGTCACTGCCCACACCCATGGAAGCATCTGAACTGCCCCAGCTAGCGGTTGTGAAAGGCTCTCCAAGCAATCATGTGAAATGTTTTCCTTTGATTCATCAGCTGTAATTCCTCCTGGAGACATGCTTTTCTCATGGCTTGCCTCCTGTAAGTCAGCTGTTCCCACTCAGGAGCTGAACTCTGGGCAGCCTTGCCTGGGTTCCTTTTCAAGGAATGCAGCCTTTCCTTTCACCCAAGCATTTGAGTGCACATAACACTCTGCTCTCTCTCTTCCCTGACCCTGTTCTTTGTGTTCCTAGGCTGAGGTTTCCCCTGATGAATTTATTTGGCTCCCTGATCTCTTTACTTTTCTTACAGGTTCTAAGAAGATGGGTACAATGAGACAAAAATGTCAACCCCTTGTATTTTGTGCAGGGGGACAAGCCAGCGCTGTTGCTGGATTACACAAACCCCTGGCATTGCCACCATTTGATGGGACTCTTGAGTTTCCTGTTCCCAGTTCAGTGGTATTGTGCCCTGACCAGAACTGAGCACAAATTTGGGCTGGTTTGTGTTTCCAGAATCCTGAATTGTCAGAAATGTGCTGCATCAACATGAAATGCAGTTTTTGGAGTCTAAGGGGTTTCTTTGTCACATAGAACAAGTGAAGAAGTTTTCTCTGATGCCTGAATGTTGAGGCACAGGGGGGAAATCCAGGGAGTTGCTGATAGACTGATGAGGTAATGAAACTCAAGTGGACTGGTGGCTCTCAGCAAACTTGTGAACCTTTTCCTAAGGGATAGAACTTTTCAGGGTGATTCAAAACAGCTCTTCCCCCACAGAACCCCACTTGGGTACCCTGCAGGCAAGGCCAGTTGCTCTGAGCTGCCTGGCTCAGTTCTCCATCTTGCCTACACTTGTTTCCCTTCCCTCTCGTTCTTTCTTTCTCCTGTTGGCTCCCTTTCCTCTGGACTATAGCAGAGGGATCTGGGATTTGCAGCCTGTCCCTTCCCACTTGCCAAACCTCCTTCCTGGCAGTGCTGCTTCAGGAGTCCTTGTGCCTTAGCCAAGAGGGACATCTAGTGGGGTTGGAGCTCAGGGACCTGGGGCTTGTCAATATTTCTTGCATTTTTATTTATTAATTTGTAATCATTATGAAGGAGCAGGAACTGAGGTTTTATGTAGTCCTGGTGGCATGCTAGCAAGGTGGACCTTTGGTGGCCAGTTCATGGGCTGTTTCTCTCTTCTTACTTGCACATAGGGACGTGACTGTGGAATAGGGCTTTTATGGGAAGAAAGGTGCTGTGGTAGGTGTCACTGTGCTCAGTAAAACAAAACCTGTCTGAACACACTTCTTGGTGGATTTGGTTGCACAAGGTTCAAACTTTGACTTGGAAAATCATCTGATCTCTTCTTGCTTGGCCATGATCCTGCTGGTTGTGGCAGGAGCCCCAGACTGCATGTGGGCACAAGGGAGAGAGAGTAGACACTGGATCTGGTGTTCAGGTGATGGAACAGCCCACTGCAGATCCTGTTGGAGCAGGTGCTGGGGCCCAACTGCTGGCCTCTTCTCATTAACTGTTTTATCCTTTAGCATTCTGTTATTCCAGGCATCTTCTGGGGACCATAATCCATAACAACTCCTGTTTAGGGAAGCTTTTAGTGGGCCATGTGTCTGGGGAGCTTAACTGCAAACTGTGGGACACTGGAATGCAAAGATTTGTACTTTTATTTGCTCAGTGCTGCAAAAGTGCTGCTGATGCTCCCTGGGCAAGAGAATGACCACAGTAAATGCTTCCTTTTGTGTTGCTGTAGCACTGTGTAAGCACAGATCTCAGAATGTTCCTTAACTCTGCAGGGAGGGCTGAGGCACAAACCATGCTCCTATTGTTAGCGTTCAAAAACACATAATCACGGGGGATTATATGCGGTGCTTTTTTATTAAGAGCTCTGGGTGCCAGGGCAAATCTGACTCCGACCATACATCCGAAATGATCGTGTTTTTATATTCTATTGTTATATAACTTTCACGTTAATTATTAAACTTATATTGTTCTATTGTACACATAGATTTAGCCCCCCTCTGAATTTCCAACATAGTTTCTCATTATCCTTCTTATGGTTATATAATAATTATATTTAATTACTAAACAATCATCACATCTAACAATTATATAATTTATCATACTGCTTACGCAGGTGCAGTTGATCTGGGAAAACACAAAGCTTAACATTTTAGATTCTAATTTTTTCCAGGGCTCCACTATCACTATGAGCCCTCACAGCTGTTTCTTGTTAAGATTTCTCCCCAGACTCCTCATCTCTGTCCATACAGTGGCGCTGCTGTGCAGAACAGCAGTGAAGTGTTTTACTGGGAGAGGCTCAGCTTCCCCCTTAGCACTGAGAGTCTGTGCTGTAGGTTTCTGTTTCAGGAACACTGGCACAGAAGCTCAGGAAGAACCACACAGCCACAGTATTAGAAAATATCCCAGTTTATTGCAGCATCTCAGTTCTGAGAGTTTTACAAAACAATGTATTTACAGGTAAGGAAGGGACTAAGCTGGAGTGTGCTTTGCTGGGGCAGGAACAGACTACAGAGGAAAAAGGAAGAAAATCAGCACATTCACAAGTCACATTTTTCTTTACAAAAGTAAGACAGGTATAAGGCTGGTGTGCACAGCTCATTGGTGTTGTCCTTGTGGGGAGCACTCCAAGAAAAATTCAGTGCAGCCCTTGTGCTCTTCACAGTGATTCCAGGCACCTGGGGCTCAGCAGAAACTCTATCAGCTCAGCTCAGTATGATGTTAAGGCACAATGCAGTGATGCCAATGGCTCTGGGTCTCCACATGTGCCAGCAGCTCTGCCTTTGGCTTCTCTCATAGCGAGTGATAGTGTTTGAGCAATGCCCATGGCTTTCTTTGGGGTGAGTGATGGCTTTGAGCTCTGCCTGTGGCTTCCCTCAGGGTGAGTGGTGGTGTTTCAGCCCAACATCTCTCTTTCAGGCCCCCAATCCTGGACTTGGCCAAGCCAGAAGCAGAGCTGGACAGAGGACAGAAGGAGGAGACCATGGTGTGGGACAAGGGAGGCATTCCAAAGGGAATCTCCCCAAAACTATGGTAAGACCTCCATTATGGCTGAACACCAGAGAAAGGATATGGACGGCTGTTTGAAAACAAATGCACCACTTAGAATATATGCTGAAACCTTGTTTTTGAACTTGTCCAATAAAGTTTGCCTCTAAACACAAACTGTCTTTTTTTTGATTAGATTTTTTTTAAAAGTTTATTACTATATGAAATCTTGAATGATGGCTCATTCAAATTGTTCATGGGAGCTGCACTAGCTTACCCCCCCAAGGGAAACTTCTCCAAATACGGATTTCTCAGACTAAGGCGTAAACCCAACCATCAGCTCTGGTTGCACATGGAGTCCCAGGCGCTCACAGCGAGGTAGAGGGAGGGTTGAAGTTCACAGTAGAGGCTGTGCATGGCTGGCACTGCCAAGTGTCTTCAGCCAGCGCTGTCTAAGAGGTGTCCAGGCAGGGATCCATCCCTAGAGGCCTGTGTGCTCCTGGATCCAGTCTCGCAAGCTCGTGAGCCGGCTGTACACCCCAGGTTTGTTCCTCTGGGCACAGCCATCGCCCCAGCTCACCACGCCAGCCAGGAACATCCGACTGCTGGGCTCCACACTGACCAGGGGCCCCCCAGAGTCTCCCTGCACAGAACCACACAGGAGCATAAGCACCAGCCCCATAGATCACTCTCGTGCACAGTGTTAAAGTCACTCACAAAAACTGAGCAAGAAATAATCACTAAATCTCTGTCTACGTCAGCTGTCATTACAATTTTTTGGCCATTTCCTGAAACAAATATTTAAGCACGGCAGTAAGAGCCACAGTGCCAGAACAAAGAGCTATAAAATACCAGTCAAGCAGCCTGGCTTGCTAAGACTCTGAATAAAAGCCAGAAATTGGAGTATGGCTGTATATCGTATCTGGTGAGATGGAGTCTGGGCTATAGTTTTTGAGCTGTAAGTCATGCATCAACATAACTTGCTGCTGGTGCCCATTGTAATCTGTTCATTTTCTGAATCCAGGAGAATTCCCATAGATTTGTGTTATGTTAAAAATGTAAATATAAGTGGAAGCACATGAGCAAAGGACTGTCTCCCTGCCTAATAACCAATAACCAGCACTAAATCCAGGTGCTGCCTTACCTGGCAGGCATCCACACCACCGGTCAGGATCCCCACACACATCATGCGTGGTGTCAGCTGGTCTGTCAGGAGCTGGTTACACACAGTCTGGTTGATGAGCCGGATCTCTGCCTTCTGCAGGATGGAGGCTCCTGTGCCTGCCAAGATGGAAGAGCATCATTAGTAAAAATACACATTTTTTAACAGCTCCCTGTTTTTCCCTCAAGAAACACAGAAATCATAGACTTGTAAAATTTCAGAATGGTTTGAATTTGAAGAGAACTAAAGTCTGTCTTGTTCCATCCTGTGCCACAAGTAGGGACAGTTTCCACTACACCAGATTGCTCCAAGCCCTGTCCAATATGGCCTAGAATGCTTGCAGGGATGTGGCAGCCACAGCTTCTCCTGGCAACCTGTTTAAAATACATCAGTGCAGCACCAAATCACATGCCAGTGCTCACCTCCTTCTGCAGTTGCTCCCCATCCAGTCACCCACAGGTCCTTGCCCACAGGGAAGTTGTGGGTGGCATCGGGCAGGCAAATGGGCTGGACGACAGCTGTGAAGGTGACAGGGCTCTGCAGCTCCAGCACAGCAATGTCATAGTCGTAGGTGTAGTCATTGAAGAAGGGGTGGGAGATGATGCGCTTGATTTTGCGGGTTTGCACATTGGGGCCACTCCGGTCACCTTGGTCAGTCAGCCCCAGGTAGGCTGTCCATAGGCTGGGATCTGAATACCTGCACAGGGGCCATGAAATACAGGGTGAGACCTCAGCTTGGAGACAGCACTGCTCACTACTTTAAACAGTTTCCTTGAGGAATGCCTCTCAGAGTCAGTGTTGGAATATTGTGGTTTTGGTCGCCACAATATAAGAATATTAAACCATTAGAGAGTTTCCAAAGAAGGGCAACAAAGACGGTGAAGGGCCTTGAGGGGAAGCCATATAAGAAACAGCTGAGAGCACTTGGTCTGTTCAGCCTGGAGGAGACTGAGGGGAGACGTCATTGCAGTTACAACTTTCTGTGTGAGGGAGAGAAGAGGGGTAAACTCTGATATCTGTTCTGTGGTGCTCAGTGACAGGACCAGAGGAAACAGCCCGAAATTGTGCCGGGGAGGTTTAAGTTGGGTATCAGGAAAAGGCTCTTTTCTCCAGAGAGTGGTCAGGTACTGGAACAGACCACTGCTTGATGCAGGGCAGTGGCCACAGCATAAAGCCTGACTGAGCTCAAGAAGCATTTGGATGATACTCTCGGGCACATGGTGTGACTCTTGGGGATGGTGCTATGCAGGGACAGGAGCTGAACTCAGTGATCCTTGACGGTTTCTTCCAACTCAGCTTATTCTGTGATTCTGTGAAATACCTGGAAGCACAGGGATATGAGGCCAGTACCTGATGCCCTGCAGTGGCAGGAAGCAGTGTGCTGCCGACACCAGCCAGCTTGCTGACACCAGCGAGGCCCCACAGATGTGGCCCTGGCCCTTGACGTGCAGGCTGACCTGCCAGGGCCACTCTCCCACGTCCGAGTTCTGCCCACCAACGATCCGCGACTTCCTGATGTAGGAGCGGAGACCACAGTCTAGGGCAGAGAAGGAGAACAGGGGCTTGGTTTCTCCTGTTCTCATCCCACGCCTCCCCTCTGTTCCTCCAGGACATCTGACAGCACAAATACCCTGTTTACACATGTCAGGAAGGGTTGATGTTCTCTGCACAGATGCTAAATTAGCTACAACATTTACTGGCCAACTCTGTAAAGGGGAGATAAGCCCCTGTATTACCCATCTAAGCCTTCCTGAATAACACAGACACCCCACAGGCCGCTAAAGAACGTGGCTTGGATATTTCCATATCAAGCTCCTGTACAGAAACACACAGGGGCTCTCTCTGCCACACTGGGGTGTTTCTCTGAGAGACCCAGCCCAGAGTCCCATGTCTCCCCTATTCCTGAGGCACTCACTGCAGTTGTCCTCATCAGAATGATCCTCACAGTCCTGCTCCCCATCACACTCGGGGTTCTGTTTGCTGATGCAGTGTCCACTGCGGCACTTGTACGTGTACTCCTTGCAGGGGACCGTGGTCTGGCCTGCTGCAGGCAGGATGGAGGCACAGGGGTTAGTCCCAGTTCTGGGGAGGTCACATCAAGTCCACCTCTTCTGCCCAACCCCAGAGCATTTACACCCCATGCAAGCACACACATGAGGGTGCCCAGCCCCAAGGAATTCCATCAGAGGCTGCGTTTGCTGGCAGTCACCCTCCAGCTGACCCTCACCTGTGCTGCAGCTGCCCTCATCGCTCCCGTCCCCACAGTCGTCCTTGCCATCACATTTCTGTGTGCTGGGGACACACTTCCCGTTGTCGCACTTGAAGCTGTCAGCTGGGCAGCCTGGGGACAGAGAGCAGCTCCTGAGGGCTGGGCATGAATAGTGCAGCACCTCAGCACATGGCTGTGCCCAGCTCCTCTCCCCGAGACAAGTAAAGCCTCTGCAGCTCCAAAATACTGTGTCTCCAATCTCTTCTCCAAACTGCACACCACCACGCAGTTATTCAGCCCTTTCTATTCCTACAGCTCTGCTCATCCTTCTTTCCTCTGAGCTCTCATTCACCTGTATCAGGTGAGCACTCATCATGCCTGGGTTTTTTTGCCTGCTCATTTCCAGCACAGCACTTCCCTCCACCCCACAAGCCTCCATCACCCTAGTCGCCCCCTGTGTGCCTGCTTGAGCCCTCAGCCCTTTGTGCCTGCAGGGTGAGTCACTCACTGCACTGTAGCTCATCGCTGTTGTCACCACAGTCGTTCACGTTGTCACAGACCCAGAACCTGGGCTTGCACCAGCCATTCTGGCACTTGAACTGCTGCTCCGTACAGGCTGGAAGAGCAGAGTAAGAATCACAGGATCATTTAGGTTGGAACAGACCTCCAAGACCATCAAGTCCTACCTGAGACCAATCACCACTTTGTCAACCAGACCAGAGCACCGAGTGCCATGTCCACTCATTCCCTGGACACCTCCAGGGATGGGGACTCCTCTTGGAAAGCTGTTCTAATGCTAGAAATTAGGGGAGAGGCTGCAAAGGCACCTGTGAAGTCACCAGCAATCCACCCACCATGGCAGCTCTCCCAGTGGGTGTGCAAGCACTTGGGAACCCCAGAAACCAGCTCGGGACTGTGCACATGTACATAAATACACTACACACTCAGTACATCACAGTATTGCCACTTCTCTGGAGAACAAAGCCATTTGGAGCTGTTGTGTCTGAGGTAGTGGAGGCTGAAGCTGACATCATAACAGCAGGACAGCCAGAGGCAATACTGAAGGAAAGCAATTGCTGCAAGCAGTGGGAAAGCACCTGAGAAACCAGGATCATGGGGCAGCAGCACATCCTTCCCCAGAAAACTGCCCCTTCCAAACCAGGGCACCCCGTCTTCTCTAATAAACTGCAGACCCTGGACAATAACATTAACTATAGGACAGGTGTGCTAATCCAAGAGGAAAACCTGTTACACAAAGAAACAACTCCTGTGTGTCCCATGGGTTTTCCAGATGAGCTCTGCAAAGCCTGCCCAGTTGAGTAATGAAATGTGTCCCTCCACACCACTCAGCTCAGCCAAACCCACAATCAGCAGGATTACACAGAAAAACACATTCCCAGCTGGAAAGAGAGTGCGATGCCACTGGGAGAGGGCTGGATTAGCAGGAGCCCACAGCTCTTAGGCTGAGAAAGGATCCCCAATTGTGCACCGAGTCTCACTCCAGTCTGGAGGAGGGCAGCAGTGCTGGTTCCAGCCAGCACTGAGTCACATTACCCAGAACAAGCCTAACCACCCCATGGTCAGGCACCATGGCCTTTCCATGCTGTGCCAAAGAGAAACCAAAGGCTAGACTTACTGCAGGACCTCTCATCACTGCCGTCCACGCAGTCCAGCCACCCATCGCAGCGCATGCTCCTGTCGATGCAGCGGCCAGTATTGCAAGTGAACTTACCAGGGCAGGCTGAGAGGGAGAAAGGGACAAAACCACACATGAGCCCTCTTGGTGTCCCCTCTACATCCCTTCTGCAGAGTTTCCTATGCCTGCTTACAGCAGAACACAACAGGAAGATCAGGAGGTTTTCAGGAAAGCAAGGCATGCTGCTATGCCCCTATGGAAAAGGCTGCTTCCCAGTTTACAGGGCAGTGTAAACACAGAGGAGGGACAGCTCCACATCTCAGGGAAATGACTTTCCCCTCCCCAGCCCCAGGGTTTCAACTCACGGTCACTGGAGTCGTAGGACAGGAATTCTGCAGAGAAGCCTGTGTCTGTGTAGGACTGGTCCGAGTGGAACCGGAGCTCGATTTTGTTGGTGGTACTGGCCACCACAAACTGGGAGCGCTCCCCACAGTACCTGCAGGGAGAGAGCAAACAGGAGTCAAAAGGCTCGAGGTCAGCACCAAGAAAACCTCCTTCTATCCCTGATCTCCCTCCACACTCGGGAAGCTGAGAGGGCAGGAGAGCAGGGAGCAGGTCTGATCCCAGCACAGACTGCTGGGCCTCAGGGTCCGAATTCTGCTGCTGCTGGCAGAAGGTTTGGGCCAGTTGTAAACACCAACTTGTGACTTTAGGAATGACTGGGAACAAGTTCTTCCACATCCTTGCCTGCCCTACAATGTGTCTGATCTCAGATACACTGGACTCAGGCAGGATCCCATCTCACCATGGGCAGACTGGATCACGTACGTGAACAGCACTGCAGAGGCAGGTGCTGACTTTGATACCCTCTCTCTGAGGCAGGGTCAGCTCCCTTGTCCAAAACACTGTGAAACAAGATTAATCACCTGCCTCTGAGATTCTGAGTTTTCTCTCTGGCCCAGCTTATATCAGGCTGAGGAATGCATCTAGAAATGCATCACAGGACATGAGTGCCCTGAGAATGGAGAGCTGCTCGTTCAAGCAAACCTACCCCAGATGTTCCTGCCTTCCCACACATGAGCTATGTGCTGTGATGCTCCATAGCATCTGAGGGGTTGTTCAGCTGCAGCACACCACAGTACCAAGTGTGGGACTCCCCACTCATCACGGGGCAGTCCTGGGCTGAGGCAGCTGTGGGGTTTTCAGGGTCTCCCCCGAAAATGACTGCTGTGGGCCTCCCGAACAGAGAAGTCCAGTTAAGCACAACCTGTCCAGACCCCTCAGGCAGGCTCCAGGGCCGCAGGCAGTCTTAGCAAGCTCAGCTCTTAAGTGAGCCCAGCTCTTTAGTGATTTTCAGCTCATTAGTGATTTTCAGCTCTTTTGCTTGTTAAGTGCCTTTGGCAGATGCAGGGAGAGAGAGGAGAAGCTCTGTGTGAGGTTCCACAGAGATGTCTTTATTGGTATCTTCTGGAAAGGGTCTCAGTGACAGCTCTTCTGCCAAATTGGGCAAAAGTAGGGGTTTATATAGGGTACAGGAGTTTTAGGAAACAGTCCAATAGTAAAGGTCGAGGCAAAAGTGACCTATAGTCTTACACAGAGATAACAAGGGTCTGAAGGAAGAGGGGCTTCTTTTGGTCCAGTCATCATGACTAGGCATTTTCTGTCTTAGCAGGTCCTGTGCCTGCTACACTGGGCACCCTCCTGCCTCCTCCCAGCCCTCAGAGCACCAGCACACTTGTTCCCACAGCAGATTAAGGAAAGCACCAGTTAGTGTGTAAGTAAATGAAGCCACTCCATGGGTTCAGCCACCCAACACCCACCTTGTGCCGTTGATCTGCACATAGTCTTTGGTGCAGGAGCTGACTGGGATCCCAGGCTCCAGCACAAAGAACATGTTGAAACGCACCTTCACATTCTTTCTAGAGGGAACCTGCAAAAGGAAGCACGTCAGTGGGATATTCCTTTCTGGAGCAAGAAAAAAGGAATAATTTCACAGGAAGAGGGTTGTGCTTGAGGGAGGACAGAAGATAACTAAAAAGGGGAAATCAGTTTTCCAGCAGGAAAGAAACAGCTTCATAAAAGTCCCTGAGTCACCCTGGCTCCAGAATCCCCAGTGTAACAGGCATACAGAGGGGTGGAAGCCAGACCTGTGGTCAACAGTCAGTAACTGGCATGTCCCAAAGCCCACACTCTCATCTTTCTTGCATGAAGTTACAGGATTTTTCATGGTCTTCTGTGGGGTTCAGGCCTCTTACAACCTCTTCTGCCTTTGCCTCCAGTTCCTAAAGGCTCCCTCAATCATGCCAGACTTGGAGCCTCTGGGCCCCAGTTGCTGTGAGCTCCCTTGCATCATGTCCTGTATGAGCAGGGTCATTTGACAGACTTGTTAAGGGAAAGAGAGGGCCCATCTCACCTCAATGTTCCAGACACAGTCCATGTCTGGGGGGTAGTGTGCTGGGTAATAGGGAGTTGTGAAGGTGCCACTGTCTCCCTTCAGGGTCTCACCACAGGCTAAAATCAAGCAGGAAGGTAACAACAAATTAGAGATTTAGATGTGGTTTTTCCAAGCCTCACTCAGCTGGCTGTCATTGGAGGCAGTGGCAACAGTCTCTAGCATGGTTAAGTCACTCTCTGGAGAGAGCAGCTTTGCTCCAAGGCTTGAGAGAACCCAGGAGATCAATTAGGTGCTTCCATCAATCTGCATATCTAATCCAACATAATTCTCATTTTTGCCTCCTTGGGGAACATCCTTACTGCAGTCAAGAACACCGTAGGCAAGGCAAGCACCAGCTTCCAGGTGCTCCAGCCCTGGAAACATCCCTGGCAAACTGACCCCAACCACAGCCACCTCCCTGTTCAGCTGCCCGTGGCAGGGAGACATGGGGAAACAGGCCAAGGCCTCTGCTCACCTTTCATCTTTGGAAGCTGGAAGAACTCAGCCTTAAAGCCAGGGAATCGTCCCTCCTTGTTGGTAACCAATGTGACTAGCATGACGTTCTGGGAGGAGAGGAAGGTCAGGTTGTAGGATGGGGCATAATTCCCACAAAGTCTAGGAAGCAAAGGACAGAATTTGTAAGGCACTACTGCACAGGGAGCCTCAAGCAGCACAGCTCAGCTCTGAGCAGATCTCAGGATCACCCCAGACTTGGTGCCATACAGGAACACCCACCTAACCAAGGCATGGGGCTCCACGGGGCTCAGAGAGTCATACACCTTGATGTAGTCACTGTCATCTCTGCATGGCTCCAGCTCCAAGGTCTTGAAGGTGAGACTGATGCTGGAACTGGCATCTGCCCTCAATGCCCAGTAGCAGAGGGCATTGTTGGGGTATGGGCTGTTGGGGAAGCCTGGCGTGGTGAAACTGGTGACCTCCCCTTCCTTGGCGTGAAGGGAGAACATGCAGCTGTCTGCCCAGAGAGTAGAGAACAGTTAACAAGGCAAAGAAGCCTTGCCCTGCCTTTCCCTGGGATGCAGAGAGTAATTCCTGCAGGCTATCCCAGGGCAGATACCTCTTCCTGGATAACAGCAAGGCCTATGCCACAGTCTGTTTAACCCCAAAACAGCTCTAAGAATCACACTGGGGTCTGCCTTGCATGCACAGAACCTCTCTCCAAACCCTTCCCCATCCTGCAAGAGAAACACCACCCTAAAGACACCACTGAGATGGAAGAAGAACTGTACTTACTGTCCCGGGCAGAGTGAGCTATGCTGGGGTCCACAGCTGCAGAAAAAACAGAGCTGACATCACCCTTTGGGCTATGGGAAATCCCTGGGCACAAAGCCAAGGTTGTTCCTCAGACTGTCATTGATCTGGCCTCACTTGTGGAACCTCTCCCTGCAAACTGGCAGGAGAGCTCTTTCCTGGCCTCTGGGAGCTGAGGGAGCAAACTTTCCCTCTGCAGAGGGAGAACTCATCCTTGTCCCTCTTCCCTGGGCTCAGAGGAGAACACAGAGCATTTCAGCAAAGGGGAACAGGCCCATGCAGTCCCCTTTAGACTCTACATCCCGTTAAGCTGTGCTGTGACATCCAAGCCCTTACACCACCCTCAGGGCTGGCTTTCTCATGAGAGGGCTGACCAGCACCTTCTCCTTCCAGAGAAATATCCCACCTGATCCCATGCAGAGGCCCAGGGACAGCGGGACCGATACTCACGGAAAGCAATGACTGACTCCACCTTCAGCATGGGGTTTCTCAGGCGCGGGTTCCACCTCTGCACCAGGCTCTGCTTGTCAGCCATCGCCCTGTCCAGGCTCTCTTCCCGGTATTTGGGCACAAGGAATTCTGACCAGTAGTAGGCAATGACACTGCCTTCACTGTGGAAAGGGTAATTGTGGGATGAGGGCAAGGACAGACATGGGAGGACTCAAATACCACTAGAAGGGGTCAAACTACTTGATTAGCCAGTTTTGGAGTCTGGCCACAGGGAAGGGAGAGTTTCATTACAAGTTAAGCAAACAGCAAAGGCCCCTGCCAGCCTGAGCAGTCTCTCTCAGTGCTGCCAGGCACCACCCACTGCAGTTCACTTGATTTTTCCCAAGACATCTGGCAGAAAACCAAATGTATTTTCAGGTCACTTTTTACTGCTCACCCTTTCCTGTGCCATTCAGGGTGATTACGGGGGTACTTCTATCCCAGCATCCTGGGAAGGAGGGTAAATGGCTGATGTGATATCCTGGCGTCCTAGATGGGGCTCAGGCAGTGCCTAACACTCACCTGAAGGCAGTGATTATTGTCTCTTTGTGATAAGGACCAATATCAGCATGATTCTTGTAGATCTCCTCCACCTGAAAGGGTTAAAAAGAGGTGTTCAGCATGTCTAGAAGTGAGGAAAAGGGAAAGGCTGAAGACAGAGCTTCAAGCCTGCAAAGGAAAACCAGGGCACATCCCTGGCATCCCTGTGTGCAGGAATCTGCAGAGCCAAAGAAAGAAAGAAGGAGAGTTGAGAGCCCCAGAAGAGCACAGAGCTGCCCATCACAGCCTGTTCTGACTCAGCTCACCCACTCTTCCCTGGGGAAGGTGAATCCCCAAGTCTGAGGGAAGAGGCACAGCTTCAGCCTCTTTTAGACACCCTTTTAGCTCAGTTCCTGGCCCTGACTCATCCAGTGATTCTGGGACGTGCCCTGGCAGCTCCTATGGCACCAGGAGATACCATGGCACTGGGCTGGAGCTGGGATGTCAAGATCCAGTTCCAAAGAAGGTCCCTGCCCCCAGCCAGTGTGACACAGTTGTGACACAGTGAGCAGGGAAAGCTCCAAGGAATCTTACATGGCATATCCCCATGGCCATGGGGCAAGAGGAAAATTCCTTGCTTGTAGAAAGAGGGAGGCAAGAAATCTCTTACCGTGCTCTTCACCTTCTTGGCCAGCATACTGAACTCTGGAGAGCTGGAGTTCTCATAGGCGTCCAGGAATTCCCAGTTCAGAACCCGCAAGTGGCCATTGAAAACCTTCCGGACAGGTGTGTTCCTATCTGGAAGGGAACAGTTCAGGGTCAGGAAGGGCAGTCAGAGCTGGGACTGGTGCCACAGCAGATCCCCAGTGACAGCAATTGGGGCAGGGAGGTGAAAATGGTGTCTTCAGAGCTTGAGAGGGCACATGTGAGCAACACCGGGTAACAAAGCTTTTCCATGTGGAGGGATATGTTCCCAGGGTGTTACCCTACATGTCACCACCCACCAGACGTCACACTCACATTTGAAGTGCCAAAACAGGAGGCCAGTGGTGAGGGAGACAAGCAGAAAAACAATGATCAGGACAGTGATGACCACCTGCCGCTTTGGGCCGCGCTTCTCCATCTTCTTGGAGTTCATGGCAGGGAGGAACTCCACCCCTTCATCCAGGTTGTTCATGTCCTGGGAGAGGAGGGAAGGCAGGACAGTGAGAAAGCTGTTCTCAAAGCCTGGCTTGGGGAGGTCCAGCCACAGAGCAGCCTGAAGCAGGTCTGGGGACGAGGAATGCGGCGGCACTGAGAGCAAACCTCAGTGTTGGCAGCTCCACAGCCATGGCAGGACAAACCCTGAAGGTTTCTTCTTTGCTTTTCTGCACACACCTAATTCCTTTCTGGGCCTAATTTAAAGTCATGACTTCAAGCACACTCAGGGGCAAGTCCACACAACCTCCTGTGACCATGGCAGGTCACAAGCCCACAAGCTCCAAGATCTGCCTCAGCAGATGAAACTGCAGAGAAAAATTCACCCCCACAAAGTGCTCGCGTTGTGCAGGTGTGTCACCCAGAGCTCATGGGGCACAGCATGCTATAAATAGCATTTCCCTAATAGAAGAAATCAAGCTGCTTCCTTCCTTTAGAGCTTTTTCACAGCTCTCTGTCATGCCTCCTGAACCAGCAGCACTCCTGTGTTTCTGCTTGGAATCTCTCATCCAGCAAAAATACTTGCTAAAAGAATTAAACCAAAATATTAAGAAAAACACACAAAACATCCCCACAACCCACGAGCAGCCATGCTCCCGGGACAAGACGTGGAAGAGAGGAATGAGGAATGACACAGCTCTTGCTGTCATCATAATGGGCTGAGTGAGGAAGTGGAAGATGCGTTGAAGCAGCGAGCTCTGTATCAGCTGTAAAACCTGAGCTCTATATCAGCTGTAAAACCATTGGTATCCCAAGGTTTCAGTTTCTCTCACCTTCTGTTCTGTTCCTCCATCCTTGTCCTGCTTGTGCATCTGTACCTCTCACCTGGGGGGGACCTGGGGGGAAGGTTTGGACAGCTACAGACCTAGATGTTTTTCAAGGATCCCACACAGCATCCTTGGCACTGTTGGACATTGTGGGGGCCCAGATCCACAACGACCCTGGCACCTCCTCTCCTGCCAGCACAGCCAGTGGTGTGGCCAGAGCTCACCACATCTGCTTCTGATCTGTGCCTCCCTTGGGAAGGAAGGGCTCTGCACGTGCTGCAATGGCCCAAAACAGGAGGATCCTTCACCTTTCTGCTCACCACCTTCCCATTTTCTCCTCAGCAGGCATTCAGCAGCTTCCTGGGCTCTGGAACCTCAGCATGGACACCACGGCACAAAGTGCCAGCTCACACAAATATGTGGCATTTCCATGTGCCCCATGCTCCAGAAGGGTAAAGCTGTCTCCACAAACAGAGGGTCAGGCTCTGCCTGTCCTCTCTCAGCCCAGGGCTCACACAAACCTACTCCAACAGCTTGGGTTAATTTGAAGCAAATGTCACAAGCCCCTAAATTAAGGAAAAATATGTACAAGGGGGATATAGCTTGATAGAACACAAGGGAATGGCTTTGAAACGAAAAGATAGCAGGGTTTGACAGGATACTGGAAAGAAATTCTTCCCTCTGAGGGTGGTGAGGCCTTGGCATAGGTTGCCCAGAGAACCTGTGGCTGCCTCATCCCTGGCAATGTCCAAGGCCAGATTGGACAGGGCTTGGAGCAGCCTGGTCTAGTAGAAGGCATCCCTGCCCATGGCAGGGCAGTGGGACTGGATGGGCTTTAAGGTCCCTTCCAATCCAAACCACTCTGGGATTCTATGAAAAACAACTAGCAAATGGGATCCTGCTAACATAGGGATCTCTGAGCCTGCTGTACAGACATAAGGAAAACGCCATCTTCACTGCATTTCCTCACTGAACTTCCAGCAGGTACTTCATCTTATCTTTCCTCAGCCTTGCCTGGCAGGAAAGCCCAGCTCCCACTTGAACCATTCCCCCACTTCTTTTGCCCTTTTCTTCACCCAATGCCTGTGCTCTCCTCCCACCCTCCACACCCCATTGCAGCCTCTCTTCCTTGCAGTATTTGCCCAGGGCCCTTCAGAACAGAAAGGGAAGTGGCAGGCACCTTACTCCGAGTTGTTGTCAAGGACTCTAAGTTTAATCCTCTGCAAACACCAGAAGACCACCAAGACCAGAGCAGCTCGCCAGTTTTCACATCACCTGCTCTCAGAATCCTCTCAGTTTATTATTTGGAGGTTCAGGGAAGGAGCCTTCATTCATTTTTGAGCTTTACTGCCTAAGGCTAGACAGAAAGAACTGTTTCTATCCCCAAAATCCACCCACCTCCAAAATAAAGAGACCTAGCAGGGCTACAGAGGACAATGCCATGGGGAATGCTCTGAATCCTGTTTGGCTTCTGATCATACAGGAAAAGCTTGAAGGAAAGGAAAGGAAACTTTGAAGCAGATGGCACACAAAATAAATCTTAAATACACAGAGACATCCTAAATCAAGAAATTCTTCAATCAAAGTCAAGACTACCTGGAATTTGACACACAGTCTTCCAAACTAGCTCCTACCAGTTTTCCAGTCATGAAATAAATCCCCCCAAAACCTGGTAAAGAAAAGAAACTGCCCACAAAACTTGCAAACACATCCTCTCTCCCTCCACAGGGCTGTTTACAATGCAGAGCCTTCTCAGGACTTCCAAGCCATTGCTGCTGTTTATCAACATCTGCAGGAGTCTATGGCAAGAAGACATTCTCAGGCACTTAAATGATCTATCAGTTTCCTCAGACTTCCTGGAGCCAGCGAGGAAGAACTGCAAAGAAAACCAATTTTCCACAAGAAAACTCTTCAGCTGAGTTCATACACTTCCGTTTCACCAAACTGCCAGGATAAAATAAGAGTCAGCAGCAAGCAGGAGCTCCTGCTGTATGACACTGCACAACAATGTGGCTGATGCATTTTAACATCCCCTTTAAGCTAAAGATTGTGTCCTTGCAGAGAGAAAACTCTCCCAGGGAGAAAAATCATTGCTGTGATTCAATCAGAAGGCAAACAGAGCCCCCCTCTGCCTCCAGCACACACAGGCAAATGCACTGCTCCTGGGAGCAAGGAAATTAGACAGGAAAACTCACCATGCATTCTCTTTAGGCAATTTCCCTGCTTTCCTTGGAAAAAAAAATAGTATGAAAAAGCTAAACCTGGGAGTTTACAGTCCACCTTCGTCAGTTTTTCTTGCTCCAAAGCTGAGCCAGCAGCAACACAGAAACTTCTGGGAAGGTTACTTTTGTTTTTCCACCAGTACAAGGTGCACAAGCAGCCACTGACACTGCTACTTGCCAGAAGTTATCCCGTGACTACAAGCAGATAGGAGGCATGATCCAAAGAGGTTTCCCTCCCTACTCACCCTCTGTGCTGTATTCCAGCTCTCATCCTCTTTCATTCCCATACCCTATGAATGCCATTATATTCCTCAGCCAACACACACACTTGTGTGAAGAGCCCTCACCCATCACAGCCTGGGTAAGGAACAGCCATTCCTGCAAACTCTTCCCAATACCCAGTGAAGAATCTGAAGCCTCTCCCAAGCACTGGAATGATGAATCAGGGCACACAGAAGGTGAGGCCCTGTGTCCTGAACTCTAAGAGGCTGAAACCTCCCTGCCCACGCTCTGCACAAAAACCACCAGTTTGACCTGAGGATGAGACTAGCCTGTGTCCCACAAGTGCAGCTCAGCCTCTGCCCCCCTCACTCCCTGTGCTCCACATGCCCTTTGCGCCCAACACATGGAAGGAAAAGTACCCTGTCACCATTCTCTAAGCTAGACGGAAACCAGACAAAATCACATGCAAGACAGGCTCAAAGATTATGGTTAAATCAAGAAAAAGACAACTGCAATGTAATCTCCTTTAGCTGATGGCTGCTGCACATTTCCCTCGCGTGCTCTGAACAGTGGCAGCTCTAAACTAGAGAGGAGCTGACACATACTGGGCTCACCTTCTCCATGGTTCCTCCAGAAACCGTCTCTAGCCCCAAGTGACTCAAGGTCTGACTGTCTCACCCTTCTCAAGGAAACTGCTCCAATAAACATTATTAACAGAAAACCTCCCTTGATATTCTCTCTGCCTTAGTCACTGCAGCAGTTACTTCCTTCTGCTTCTCCTCACTCAGTCCTTGCCGGTACGGCCAGGCTCCCCACACAGGGAGTGTGACCCACACTGGTCACAGCACCAGCTGTGGCAGCAAAACCAATCCAGGGAAAAGTTCAGACAGGCACTGCCCCAGCTCTCTCATGCCTCAATTTCCCCTGGAGTACCAACTCCATGAAGAAATTTTGAAAAGAAGTGCACATAGATGGATTCATAGAGCGCTTGGAGGGCTCCTGCTCCTCGGCACAGTGTTTGAGCTCAGTCCTGGGGAGAGCAGACCTCCTACTCCTCCTTCTCTAAGCCACACAATGTATTTTTAGACAGTGACTGTGTTCAGTCAAACTGGACAAACCAGATGCAGAAGTGACTAATTCTGTCAGCAGGAAATTCAGCTGGCACAAGGGGGTGGTGGGAACCAGCTCTGCACTGGAGATCTTATGGGAAAGCAGAGAGATTCTCCTGCAGTGGGGGATCATGGAAAGGCTGGGATACGCCATGGAATATGGCTCTCCAGCATGATGTGTGCAAAGCAGGGGTCCCACTGGGATCAGCATCCCCCAATGAGGCTGGTTTCTGCCTTTTTGGCACTCCCGGATGGCGATGTGTCCCAGGCACCAACCCCCTTACTGTTCCCCTCTCCTCCAAAACAGCTGATCAATCTCTCTCTCAGTTTCTGCATCTGTTTACAGGATTTTGACCCACAGGACTGGGCTCCTGGCCATTAGTTTCACCTGTCCTTTATGAACACCAGATAATTTGTTCATCCAGCACCAGACATGAGATTTACCAACTTCCTTTGACTTTCCCAACTCCAGACTCTGCAGGTCTGCCACAAGACTGCTCAGGGCCAAAGCTGCCCAGATCATACAAGGTAAGAGCAAGTGTGCAAACAAATAAAATCTCACAGCAAAAAAAGGTCACTGTTTGACACCAATGTACACAACCAAGAAAAGGAACCCATAAAATGCCAAGCTGGAGGAGGCATAGGGAGGTCAGAGATGAAGCG